TACTCCAATTCCCCACTTGCTTCCTGCTCGTGCCCTGAGAAAATAGTGGAGGATGGCCCAACGCCTTGGGACTCTGTCTTCACATGGGAGACCTGGAAGAAGCTCCTGGCTCCTGGCTTTGGATCAGCTCTGGCCAACCACTGTGGCTATTTGGGGAGTGAACCAGCAGATGAAAGATCTTTTTCTCTGTCTCTCCTTCACTCTTTAAATCTGCCTTTCCAATAAAAACAAATAAATATTAAAGAAAAAGAGAGAGAGACATGGAATCTAACCTAAATCCCTTCCTCTAAGAGGGAAAGAAAATCCAGGGAAGAAATTGGAGGACCTTGGCACTACATTCTACTGAACATTGTGCATGTATTTACAGCATCTGAGTTCAAAGAAGTATTTAATTTTTAAGATAATCTTTATAGTGGTTAAAAACAAACTGGATCTATATGTGCTGACACAAAAATATTCACAAGATGTTAAGGTGTTTTCTTTACTGGAAAAAAATGAGTTTCAGAGTACTGCCTGTATACACTACTATCCTACTTATGAAAACAAATTATGTATATGTATATATACACATATGTTATTTATAAATATATATAGGAGGAGAAAGAGAGAATATGTATGTATGCTAATGGGTGATGCCTCTGTGTGTGTGTATTGATCTTTGTCAATACATAAAAAAGATCTGGAGCAATCCAAGCCAATCCTATAGCATGAATATTACAGAGAAAAGGTAGATTGAGGCATGGAGGATGGGAGAGAGAAAAGGATTTTAATTTTTTTATATAGTTTCTCCTTTTTTAGAACCAAGTTGTATGTATGTTTCCATTTGTAATCCTAAACTTTATTTTTAATCCCTCTTTGCTGATGCCACAATTGTCTCAGCAGTATAACCTAGAAACCGGAATGAAATCAATTCGATATGTCACCCTCTTATATTGAACTCGGTCTGAAAGAGACTCTGAAAAGCCATAGGCAGGCCCTGGGCGATGCTCTCACCTGTGATCTGTGTCTGTAGTGTCTGGTTTCCCTCTTGTCAATATCTGAGAACATTCAGGTAGAACCAGGATGTACGTATTTGAATTCTCAAAATATCTCAGCGTGATTCAGTCCTCCTTCATAGCCCACAGCGTGAACAGGGTAGGAGTGGGCTAGCTACCTGCTGGCTTAGCCTGCTGGGTAAGATGCCTGTACCCATGGGTGGGGGTGGGGAGGTCAAGGAACTTCCAGGATGATGAACACTTTGAGTTGTGGGGAAAGTGGCTTGTCTTAAGAAGTTCTGGAAGCTCTGGAATGTTCCAACCCCGTGCTTTGTCCTATGTACCTTTTTCATTTGATTATTCCTGGGTCATGTCCTTTTAAATAAATTAGCTATGGTGATTAAACAATTTTTCTGGGCTCTGTGAGTCATTTTAGCAATCCGTAGACCCTCAGGAGTGGGGTGGCGGGAATTTCTAATCTCATAGCAAGTCAGTCAGAAATTCAGTCTGTGGACTCAACAACGCTGTGAGTGCCTCCTGGAGCGAAGGCAACCTTGTCGGACAGAGTCCCTAAACCTGTGGGGTCTGACATTAACTCCAGGCAGTTGGTGTAGAAATTGGATTGAATTGTAGGACACTCAGTTGGGGTCAGAACTGGCTGCTGTTAGGAATGGAAAAACCAATCAAGGAGTAGCACGTTTCCCATTACCACAATGTATAAGCAGGGAAAGATGTGCTGACTGTGGGTAAAGTTGTTGAGTGGGTCTCTGTGTTGGATTGGGAACAGCCTGGTGAACTCCGGACAGTGAGGGAGGGCCCATGTCAACAGGACTAATCTGTCAACTGCTTGCCAGCCCATGATCAAAGGGACAGGAGTGGAAAGAAGGCATTCAGAAAGTTCTATAGGAATATGATCTTTGTGTCATCAAAACCTATGCTTAGTGGGTTTATCTCATGCAACAGAGCCCAGCTCCCAACTCAGGTCCACTGAATTCCATGGTCAGTGGTGTAAGGTGGGTGCTGGATCCTAGTCATTGCCAGGTGGGTCATGCATAGCTCTTCAACAGGTTGGAAAGCAAAAGCAGGTCTGTTGCCACAGATCGGCTTGTGAAGCACCCCTTGGAGGCTTGGCCCTGCAGTGACATCCCCGGGAAGGCCTTGACTGACCGGCTTATCTGAAGGCAGGCTCTACCTTTGACTTGGCACCACAGCATTGTTTCTCTTTAGCAGTTGCACACACTTGCAATCATCCTACACATGTGGATTGCTTCCTCACTGCTCTCCCTGCTGGTCTGTAAGCTCCCAGGTCCACGGAGCCACCGAAGTAGGTGAGTAGAAACCCTATCCCGTATGATGCTGGGATCCCAAAACTCTACTGGCTCAAGGAAGAGTGACTCAGAATAAAGGAGGCCCACCACCCAAGATGGCACGGAAGGCTGCCATGCTTCTAAGGACAGCTGTCCCTATGGCCATCACAGGTCAGCCTTCCTATGCACACACAGCTCCTAGAGAGTTGCTGGGTACCACATTGACAAGTGTCTGGTATAAGCAAACATATATCCTCCCTTACATAGGGCAACTCACCCTAGGCCTCACTCTACTTCTTTTTTTTATTATTATCATTTTATTATGATACAGCTCCATACACTCTACTTCTAAACATTAATTTCCAAGGACAACAAAGGGCACATGGTCAGGTAGTGAAGGATACGAAGAACTGCATCGCACCAAAAGCACACGCTGGGAGGAATGAATCAAATAACAGAGAGAGGGAGTGAACCGTGTAAAATTTTGTATGTTAGGAGTGTCAATCACAGATGAAATGTAACGATGGCTTGAAAAGATAAAAGACACATCCGACACTTCTGAAGGGAAGAGTCAATTATGAAAAGTGACTGTGCCATCTTGGAGAAAGGCAATGGTTTATTAGCTAGGACACAGAAAGCACATGCAACCAAAATAATACAAACTGGGCATCATGAAATTCAAATAGTTCAGTACTTCCCAGGACACAGTCAAGACAACAAAGACCACTCATGGAATAGGAGAAAAATTAAATGCATCCAGCGATAGCCTAGTACTCAGCCTAGATAAAGAACATTGACAATCCAATGATACAAAGACAACCAGTCATAAAATTGCTCTGTAATTTGTGGGTTTGCAAAATCGTAAGCTACACTGAGTTAACTACACTGAGTTAACTGCTTTAACCAATTCACAGTAAGACATTTTTCCCTCTCTGAGTATTGGGTGCCCCTTTGATTTTTATCAGGCTGAGCATAACAGTGGCCAGAAGCTTGCGACTGAAGACCATTGGCAGCTAACACAGCCATGGACTCTGACCAAGCACCAGCTTTCAGCAGCTTTGCGGAACCCAAATCTATAACAATATTTGGCCGTTGATACCATATTTCTCAGGAGAAATCTGAAACAAGACCTTTTTTTTAGCACAGCAAACGCAGCAGTGAGCTGTGCAACGCAAGAACTACCTCAGAGAGCTCCTAGCATGTCAGGTGCACAGCCTGAGGCGTCCTGCTGGTGAGCTGCAGGGCCACAGTGGGAACCCCAGCACCCTGACTCCAGAGCCAGGGCACAGATGACTTTTAGTTCCCAGCTGGGCCCTAGAACCTACTCCTGGTGTTTAATGGCACAAGGTGACACAGCCAAGTGGGTGGTGTTTGATGACCAATGTGTGGTGTGTTGGTGCCACAGGAAAGCTCTGCTTACATCTGCGCTAGTCCTGGGAGGGGCCAGAACTATGTTTCTATGGGGTGAGGACAGCCCAGTGCCACTTGCTTACTTTACAGCGGGCTCAAGTTCTGCCAAAGGTAGGTCTTCAGACACAACCGTTTCTGGGGTCTCTGGTACTTGGGTTCTCTAAGAGCGATTCAGCGTGGTGGCTGCAGCAGGGGAAAATGAGAATTCCAGGCTTCTGCTCTGGGCCTGGCACCTGGGCCAGGCTTGCTGCCTGGCTTTGGGAATGGCTGCCTCATCTCAGGGGCTGGGCCTCTGGGGGAGGGCTGTTTGCAAACTTTAGGAGCAGACTTCTCTGGGCGCTCCTGAGCACGGTTCTCTCACAGAACACACATACATGTTCAGGGCCCAAGACAGGACTGTCTCCCCTTGCCTCACACGGCCATGGTGAGGGCACTGGGTCTGGGTGAATGATGGTACTGGGCTAAGGCCAGAGGTGAAGTTGAGCAATGACCTCCCAAAGGCTGGGGCCTTCCAAGGTCAGTCCACAGCGCTTAATCAAGAGTCTGCTCCAGGCAGGGGTCAGGAGGCCAAAGCTGGGTAACACGCAATGAGGACCATGGCAATGGCTGCCACTTCTGTCACAGCCTTTGCTTGCTGAAGGCTCACTACCGGCCAGGCACTGCGTTGAGAGCTTTGCAAGCTCAGTTCGCTGGAGCCTCTCAGTGACCTCTTCAAGACAGCATTCTATTGTTCAGAAGGGGAAACTGAGGCACAAACCACTGCCGGGGAGGGTTGCCTGGGTACGGGGATGTGTCACTTCTCAAAGAGAAGCAAAAGAGAAAAACTTGGGGAGCTTATGTTATACTCTGAGGTTTTGTGGGGTGGAACCCGTGATGGGGGCAAAGTGAGCCCCTGTGGCCTGCTGCAAGGGCAACCTGGAGAGCCCGGACGAGGGCCTGGATCCATCCGAGACATGCAGACCTCACGGCTGCCTCTCCCAGTGTCTTCTCTGGATGAAGGTGACATTTTTGAATCGTGGTAACTTTGCATCTCTATCCTGGGCCCTGAACCTGCTTCTGTGGGGGCCGTGCCTAAGGGACACAGGAGTTCTCTTTGTTCCCACTGCTGTTCTCTAGAGGGTGTGTGCTGTGCCATGCACAGTATCTTCCAGACCTTTCCCCTGTCAACCTGCGCTGACAGCACTGGACAGCTTCTAGTTCACCCCTTCCTGGTGGGCAAGGAGTCCTCCATGGAAACGAGGGCCACACACTGCTCCCTGCAACGTCGCAGACACTCGCACTCTCATGGGAGTAGGGCGGGCATCCTTACCTCATCCGAGGAGCCATTTTCCACTCTGAATCTTCCAGCCCGCTGTATGGCGCCGTCAGCGTCACTGGAGATGAGCTGAGAGAAGAAAGCACTGGGTTAGGCTGCAGGGCCGCCAGGTGCCACGCCTGTCTGCACGTATCCATCCAGGAGGAAGCCACTCTAACACCTGACACCATGAGCTACAGGGCGCAGCTCACAAGCTGCCAGTCCTCTCATTTATTCATGTATTTTTATTTATTTTTTTTAAATCGTTGATTCGTTCACTTGAAAGGCAGAATGACAGATAGAGAAGAGAGAGGAAGAGAGATTTTCCAGTCACTGGTTCACTCCTCAAATGCCTACAACATCTGGGACTGGGCCAGGTCCAAGCCAGGAGCCAAGAACTCCATCCAGGGGTCCAGTACAGTAGCCTAGTGGCTAAAGTCCTTGCCTTAAATGCACCAGGATCCCATATGGGTGCCAGTTCATATCCCAGCTGCTATACTTCGCATCCAGTTCCCTGCCTGTGGCCTGGGAAATAATCGAGGACAGCCCAAAGCCTCAGGACCCTGTGCCCACATGAGAGGCCTGGAGAAAGCTCCTGGCTCTTGGCTTCAGATTGGCTCAGCTCTGGCCGTTGCAGCCACTTGAGGAGTGAACCAGTAGATGGAAGATTTTTGTCTCTGTATCCTTCTCTCTTTGTAATTCGGATTTTCCAGTAAAAATAATTAAATCTTCAGAAAAAAAAAAAAAAGAACTCCATCCTGGTCTCCCACGTGGGTGGCATGGCCCCACGCAAATGAGCCATGGGAAGTGTCACGAGGCCTACTGTCCTTGTCAAGCTCAGTGCTCAGTTAGGCTGTGGTCCCCACAAACCCAGGAGAAAGGAACGCCTCCTCCTTAAGAGTGGGAACCAGAGCGTCAAATCCGCATCTGGACATATTCTGTTATTAGAAAACACGAAAGCAACGCTCTCTTGAAAGAAGAATCGCCACACAGCACATGTGGGCATGCGGCAGCTCACAGATGGCGAAGCTGGAAGCCCGGTCCCTAGTCAGGCGGCTTGCACAGGACAGCCTGAAGAACGATTAGTGGCTGGCACGGACACAGGGCTCCACTAACATCAGAGAAAGCCCGTGTATTTCATCTGCTTTTAAACAGTTTCCAAAAGGCCAATTAGTCCCATGCGAGGCAAGCAGACTGTGTGAGAGCTCTGGTGACACCAGGCTTGCAAACAGGCCGTCTGCCCAGGGCCTTGTGTCGGGAGGGGAGTGGACAGGGACAGGGAGCTGCGGCTTGGCACACTAGTGCTAAAATTAATGACTCAATGCTTATCTCATTCTCTCCTCCAAGATGTCCTACTAGCACCTTGGGAAAATGATGGCCCTTTTTTTTTTTAACATCTAAATCTGTCCTTAATTTGTAGTAAAGATGTGCCAACAATTTCCACACCTCAGATTCATTAAAGCACCTTGCCCAGGGGGCACAGCTCATGGCTCTGACTTGACGCTCACAACGAGGCAGCAATACACACTTCTGTCCACTCCAGAAGACTGTCACTAGTTAATGCTTAAGAGACACGAGGACACGTGCCAAATTTTTAGGAAAAATAATTTCCACAAATTTTCCCAAGGAAATTATTTTTAAAAGATTCAGAATATTTTCCCATAGCAAACACAAAAGTAGTATCTAGTATTTGCTGGGTGTTTCTATGTGCCAGGTACTCCTCTGCCTCATTTAATTCTCATAGTAACAACACCAGGACTATTGTCACATATGAGCAGGGAAACGGAGGCAGAGAGACATTGCTAGCCAGGGCCATGTGAGCACTCAGCCTGGGGAAGGACAGGGTTGCTGGCAAAGACGGCCTGACTCCTGATGCTTCCCACCCTCCTCTCCCTGCCTGCCTGCCCAGCCATCCACGGAGGAAGCACACAGGATTCTGTGTCAGTGTCTTCTTTGTGGGTTTCTGTTTGTTGTCTGTTAGAACAGAGGGCATTACAGACAGGGTTCTCCAGTCCCGTGTTAACGGCCTAAGTTGCCTCAAGGGCATGAGGAGAAGCATTTGGGATTCACATCTGGACGTAGCAAGAAAAGAACACTGCATTCAATTCCTAATGTTTGATCCGGGTATATAAACAGCAGGGGACACACACACATTTCTTACTTGCCACCCTTAAACTAGAGGTTGGCAGACAGAGTCCCAGGACCCAGGTCGTGTAGGACCCAGGGAGAAGAGCTTATGGTTCTTCACTGACTCACTCATTCGTTGATGGAACAGACATGAATTAAACATCTGCCATCTGTTATTGTATTCCAAACATTGCCACGCATGGGCAGGCATGCTCTTTTCAGGGGGATGGCTCAGTGAAGCTGTGAAGATGCCGCTCAGGGTGCCTGTACCCCATAGCCGAAGGCCTGGGGTTCAGTCTCAGCTCCATAGAGGATCCCAGTTTCCTGCTTATGCACACCCTGGGAGGCAGCTGGTGATGGCTCAAGTTCCTGGGTCCCTGCCACCCACACGGGAGACTCAGCACCCAGCCCCAGCTGCTGTGGGCCTTTGGGGAGTGAACCAGCAGATGGAAGATGTTTATCTGTCTCCCCCGTCTTTTAAATAGATCATCATTACATTTCTAAAAGCCTTTAAAAGAGAATGCCTTTTGCCTTTGATGAGAATAGAACAAAAGCACATTGCTTGTTTTGCTTTAAAGGGTCAAGATGAAAGTGAGAATATACTTAACAGCTCAATGATTAGAAGGAATCCAGCCCCCCTTTGAACTCTTGTTCCTGAAATTGACTCAGGTCTCAGGTTAATGCATTTAACTCAATCACTTTCACCATCTCCCCCACCGCCGTCTTCATCCAGGTCACCTCTCGCCTGGATGATGACCACAACCTAACTGGGTTAAATGCCCAACTGCTCACATGGCACTGGCAAGTGGGGTGCATCCCACCCCTCTCAAGTGCATCTTCCCTCACATTAGAGGGCATGCACCCCTGGTACTCGTGGCCTGGGAGCCTCTCCCATGGCGCTTTCCCTAAGTTCCCACTGCTCTAAGATGCCTCCTCTGGCCTCCCGGCCTGGGAAAACGATTCTGCATCAGGGCCTCCGGACACTCCCTGAGGTGTGGCTGCCCTGCCCCAACTCATCCCTGGACTAGTGCCTCCCTCCACAGGCATTCTCGACCCCCTTCCTTACGCTCCATGAGGGCAAAGACCACATTCCTGCTCACCACTGCACTCCCAGAGCGGACTTGGTAGAGATATTTTTCCAAGTTGCAGCAAAAAAAAAAAAAAAATTTATTTCCGTTTGGTCCTGGTAGAGATTTTCATTTGAGTGTTCATCAACAACAATGATGTCAATTAGATGAATGCCAAATTCCAACTCAAATGCCCAGAGGAATCCAACAATGGGAGGGGGAAAGACCTATGCCAGCTCTGGCAGTAGAGAACACTCATGACTCACATAAGAGATGGCCATGAAATTCTATAAGGTTTATCATGAAGGAAAACCAATGAGAAGGGCAGGCTGAATAACCTGAAGCCACCAGGGCACATCAGTGTGAATCATGATGTAAATTTCATAGCTTGAAGCTAATGCCCCTGACTTCCAGTGCCAGGGCCTGCCTGGGGAGGTAGGCGTGAGCGGAAGGGCAGTCGGTGGGAGGAGGGAATCCTGCCAGTCACACCAGGACTGGCAAGCAGAATGGCTTCTCTGTCCTCCCCTGCCCTGCAGCTGGCTCAGACAACTGCGGTGGCTGGTGCCTGGCACACCAGCTCCTGTGGAAAGAAGTGAGCGAAGGAACCAAGAGATGAGCTCACACACAGGACAGGGAGACGTTCATTCAACCAGCAGACTCGGCTGACTGCCAGGCAGTTATCTCTATTCTCTTCCTATCATTCCTTCTCCTCCTCCTTTTTTTCTTTTTGTTTTTTGTCTTAAAGATTTTATTTTTAGGGCCCGGCGCGGTGGCGCAAGTGGTTAAAGGTCCTCGCCTTGCACGCCCGGGATCCCATATGGGCGCCAGTTCTAATCCCGGCAGCCCTGCTTCCCTTCCAGCTCCCTGCCTGTGGCCTGGGAAAGCAGTCGAGGACGGCCCAAAGCTTTGGGATCCTGCACCCGCGTGGGAGACCCGGAAGAGGCTCCTGGCTTCGGATCGGCATAGTATCGGCCCGTTGCGCTCACTTGGGGAGTGAGTCATCGGACGGAAGATCTTCCTCTCTGTCTCTCCTCTCTGTATATCCGCCTTTCCAATGAAAAAATAATAAAAATAAATCTTTAAAAAAAAAAGATTTTATTTTTAGTGGAAAGGCAGATCAAGTTTATAAGAAGGAGAGACAGAAATCTTCCATCCATCAGTTTACTCCCCAGATGACCGCAATGGCTGAAATTGAGCCAATCAAAAGTCAGGAGCCTCTCCGGATGCAGAGTGCCCAAGCTTCGGACCATCCTCTACTGCTTTCCCAGGCCACAAGCAGGAGCTGGACCATATGGCATCCCAGTGCATGTAAGGTGAGAATTTAGCCACTAAGCCATTGTGCTGGGCCCCTCTATCATTCCTTCTGCACCTGGGATCAGCCACTCACAGCCCAAGAGGACCTGCACTCCTCCTGCTGCTGGGAGGATCTGACTCAGGCATGGACACCGTCCCTATCAGAAGCCATCTGAGTGTCCAGTGTGGTACCACCCAGAAGCCCTGTGTGTCCCCAGTGCCTCCTACATGGTGCGGGGTTCCAGATGCCGCCAAACTCTGCTCGTGCCATCTTCTATAGGAACAGCACCCTCAAGGGGGCCATGGGACACACCCAGAGTCCTGGGTGGGGCAGGGAGCACTTATGGATCCACGGCCTGTGGGAAAGGGGGTGTCTTTCTCTCGCACTTGTTCCCTCTCCACTGGCAAGAAGCCTAATGTCAGAGAGCTCACCAAAGCTCACATGGAAGACTGTGGGTCTGCCCATGCTTGAATGCAGTGTGGGCAGAACACCCAGCTGGGTGTGAGGGAGAAGTCAGCTTGTTTCTCACTGCATTGGTGAGCTAATCCAACCCACAAGGAAGAACGCAGAGGAAAACCACTGACCCCAGGTGCATAATGTAA